GACCCAGTATCTAAGGGCGCATCTCACCCGGCCCTCAGCCAGCACACACACTGGGGACACACCTGTGGCTCTCAGCAGAGTGTCGGGAAGCGCCCCACCCCAGGGGGAGACGGTGTGTGCGGCCCTTCCCCCTCCAGAACCCCCTCTCACCCCGCCAGGGTGACCAGGCCCTGTCCTGCCTCCTCTCTTGCCCCCTCGGTCACCAGGTTGGAGTCCTGCTGCTACCAGTGTCCCCAGGCCCAGAGCTCTGGGGAGGAGGCTGGGAGTGAGCAGTCAGGGCTGGAGCCCTCCCCCAGCCCAGTGCGTACCCTGGACGGTGGCAAGTTCCGACAGGGACCGAGGCACAGGGACAGAGATGAGCTCTGGGGTCATCTATCGGGGGCTGGAGGGCCATGCCCAGTCCAGCACGGCGGTCAGCCTGCAAGCCGCCCGCTGTGTGCCAGGACCAGGGGCGAGCTCCAGGGGCTTCTGTCCTGGCACCTCCCACAAAGCCACCCCAGATTCTTGTCTGACCACAAGACCTTGGCCAAGTCCCTAAACGCCTCTGAGCCTCGGTCTCCCCAGCGATAAACCAGAGTTGGCAGTAGCGGCCTCAGGGTGTTGTGGGGTGCCGTGAAGGCTGCATGGGAAGCCCTGGAGGGCAGTAGGCCAGGCCCGGGGCAGGGGCAGGAATAGCAGAGATACTAACATCAGACCCAAATCAGCAAGCGCTTCTTTCTCTAAAAATCTCTGTGTTTCTCTTTGGCTGTGCTCGGTCCTGGTTGCCGCGCGGGCTCTCCTCCAGTGTGGCGAGTGGGGGCCGCTCTCCAGGTGCCGTGGGCGGGCTTCTCGTGGTGGTGGTCTTGCTTGTCGTGGAGCACAGGCTCAGCAGTTGTGGCGCACGGGCTTANTCCAGTGTGGCGAGTGGGGGCCGCTCTCCAGGTGCCGTGGGCGGGCTTCTCGTGGTGGTGGTCTTGCTTGTCGTGGAGCACAGGCTCAGCAGTTGTGGCGCACGGGCTTAGCTGCTCTCTGGCACATGGGATCTTCCTGGGCCAGGGATCGAACCCGTGTCTCCCGCACTGGCGGGCAATTCCTTACCACTGAGCCAACAGGGAAGCCCACAAGTGCCTCTCAGTCTGTGCCCTCCGCGTGGGGAGACGGGGCAGGGCCTGGGCAGTCACAGTCAGCATCAGAGTTACGTCAAAGGACACACAAGCCGCACGCAGGGCCTTCGAAAGAGTTCAACACTCGGGAAAGCGTCCCCAGAATACCAGAAGACAGCAAAATCAAGATGTGTGAGGATGTAACAAATGTCTGCCTAGTCAACATAATGTCCATGTCATCTTTAAATGTAAAATAAAAGTTCATTATACTTGTGAACAATGTGTGGGGTATATTTTTTTCTCTCTTTACAGGGTTTTCCGACTATACTCAATAACCCTTGGACAATGTATAGACCATTGTCTTAAGTGGCCAAAAATGTCCAAGAGCAAAACAATAAGATTTTTTTTTAAACTTCTTCTCAGGGGGAAAAACCTACAAAGGGGGAAGGTGGTGCAGACTGAAGTGCCCGCTGCGGGGTCGGGTGTGGCCACAGGCGCCTCGGGGCCACCAGCCTGCTTGTCTCCCAGGCCCTGGGCCCAGGCTAGGGGGCAGGACCAGTGCCCAGCTCAACACTGCTGCCACCCCTCGGCCCCTACCAGCTGTCTCCAGGGCCCTCTCTTCCCAGAGCCCTGAGGAGCACGAGCCTGGAGCAGACAGCAATTCTCCTCCCTCAGACAGTGGGGCCTTCGGGGCTCACCCCAGCATCCCTCTCCCAGTCCTACTGTCTGCGTTCTCTGGCCTAAGCCTTCCTGGCCTGTGTCCCCGCCTCTTCCAGGAAGCCTTCAGGGCTTTCCAGGACGTGAGCAGGTGGCCTTCACTTGGCCCTGGCTGCTACACACCATCAAGAGGCCTCGCAGTCTCCAACAGGATGCCCCGAGGGCCCGAGCCCTTATCCCAGGCCCCCAGGCATCCAGCGGCTTCTAGACCCAGAGGCAGCAGGGCAGGCTCGGGCAAGCGTGCCCTGAGCCGCCTCGAGCAGAGGGTGCTCAGCTCACAGCCCGTAGGGCTCGAGGCAGTCCTGAGTGACGAGGTGGGGAGACAGCCAGGTCAGAGCAGCGAACACGGCTGCGCTGCGTTACTGCCTGCGACGGAGCAGAGGGGGCCCTGGGGTCTGACCCCCCAACTCACCCTCCCCCCGAGGTGTCCAGACCACAGATCTGACTGTGTCCTCCCCTGCTCAAAGCCCAGTGTTTGGTGCCTGGGGTGACCCCCCTGTTCGCCATCTGTACTCCACCCTCACCGGGACCCTCGCCACTTGGAACTGGGCTGCTCTGTGTCTCTGTAGCTCTGGCATCCCACTCTCCAGCGGCATCCTGCCCAGCCCGCAAGGCCCAGGCAGCGCAGCCAGCTTGCTCGGCCCCCAGACCTGCAGACCCCCCAGGGCAGGCCAGGTCTGGAATGTTGGGGTGCTCATCTTCACCCAGTTCAGGTGTAGGACCCAGTCCCTGACCTGTCCTGAACGCCTGGAAACGAACACATCAGCGGAACCCAGGTCACATGTTTTTAAGCCTTTGGGCTGAGGTTTGAGCTTGTGCCAGCCTGGAATCTGCCCCTCCCCAGTCTCACAGGCAGGAGAGGTTCCGAGAGGTTCTCTGACTCCTGCAACAAGTCCGAGACTCTGCTCTGAAAACGTGTGTGAGGATGGGGGCCAAGGAGGGTGGGAGGGTGCCCTGCCTGGGAAGGCTGCCTGGAGGAGGTGGCTCTGGGTGAACCTGAGAATAGACAAGAGCCTCCAGGACTCTGGGTTATGGAGGTGGCTGAGGGCGGAACTTTGGATCCTGCTCAATGACCCGCCTGGAAGGACTGATGCTGAAGCTGAAGCTCCACTGCTTCGGCCACCTGATGTGGAGAGCTGACTCATTGGAAAAGACCCTGATGCCTGGAAAGACTGAAGGCGGGAGGAGAAGGGGACGACAGAGGATGAGATGGTTGGATGGCATCACTGACTGGATGGACGTGAGTTTGAGCAAGCTCCGGGAGTTGGTGATGGACAGGGAGGCCTGGCGTGCTGCAGTCCATGGGCTCACAGAGTCGGACACGACTGAGCGATTGAACTACACCTCCCCCCAACTTCTTCTACCGAGTCCAGAGGACAGGAAGAGCTGGGAATGACCAGGAAGTGTCCCCTCCATGATGTCAGCCCCCACCCCCAGCCCTGGTGGTCTGAAGTGCCCAGCTTGACCCTCTTGCCCACTCCGTGCTGCCGTTAGGGGTGTGGCCCGCCCTGCCTGTGATCCATTCTGCGTCAGGACCCTCTCCGGCTTCTCCGCCCGCCTGCAGGACCTGGAGGACGGGTGCCTGGCCGCTGGGTGCCTGGGTGCTGGGGGCCCTGTTCTGACCTGGAGTGCCCACCACAGGGGGACAGCCCTGGCAGGCAGAGCTCTAAGCCCCCATGCCCCGGCCGCCAGGCCCCGGTGGCAGAGGAGGCAGTGGGCCTGGTGCCCCCTGGTGGCCGCTAGAGGCTGCAGCAGGGGCCTTGGAGGAGCCCAGACTGTGGGGGAAGCGGGGTGTCCCCCAGCCCTGCCCCTCCCACACGCCACCGCCAGCCTCCAGGACATGAACGGTCTTTCTCCTCTCCGGTGCCCCCACCCCATGTGGGTGTCCACCTGTCTGCTGGCCTGCCTGGGGTGCTGGGCAGGGTGGGCGCCCAGCGAGCAGGCCGGAGCCCGTCGCAGGGAGTGGGATGGGGTGGGGAACGGGTGGTCACCCCTCTCCTGAGGGCTGGTGGGAAGCCACGTCCTGCCTTCCCACTGTCCCAGGAGTCCAGAAGCCCTCCCCGTTTCTCGGAGAAGAGTGCACTTGAGCAAGAAGCCCATCACGTCCCAGACAGAGAAAAAGGAGTCCATCCGTGCTCACACGAGAAATAAGAGTGTCTGCAATCCTTAAATAGATTTATGGAAATGGTTTTGAATTACAGCATTTAGAAAATAAAAATAATCTCAATACATAATATACCCTCCATTATATACTTTTCTTCTCCCACACAAGTTGTTTTTTCTGCGCGTGTATATTCCACTGTCAAACAGTAATTGGATTTTATGCTATAAAAGAAGCAGTAGGTGTGTCATTTCTCTAAAAATAAAACTGCAATCATCATTGCAATGTGAAGCCTGAGATTTAAGCCTGAGGAGGTGTCCGTGCTGGGGCCTGGGGCCGCTCTGGGGCCAGGGTCCCAGGGGGTCAGAGGGATGGGAGTAATGGCAGCCAAGAGGTCATCACGGGGATCCTCAGCCCCGGGGAGCGCCCTGGCCTCTGAAGCTGGGATACCTCCGCCTGCTGCTTGGCCGCCCTCAGCCCCCATCAGCTGGAGGACCAGGGTGGGCAGACCACAGCAGGGGCCGGCCTGCTTGCTCAGAGGACAACAGGGTCTGCTCCGCACGTCCCCTCTCCAGCAAGAAATGAGACATGTGGTTTAGACAAGGTCCTGAGGGGAGCAAGGGGTGGGGGGCTGTGGGCGCAGGGCCCTGGAGAGAGAAAGGCCAGCCTGGTCTTTCCCTGTTCGGCCAGCTCATGGGGGAAGCCCTGCGGCTACTCTGAGGCCCCCTTCCCCAGTAGGTGAGCATCACCCGCCCAGGAAAAGCAGACCTTCCGCTATAGCTGAGCCTCATACGGCATCTCAGCAGGACAGGGGGACCCACCCCGGGCCCAGGCCTGGCACCCCAGGTCCCCGTGCTGGCTGCAGCTGACCTCCGTGGGCCCCTGCACGGAGCCCGAGGGCCCTGCGGGCGGGTGGCGGAGGCACTGGAGTTCTGGAGTCCGGGCGCCCGCAGCCCCCGCAGCGGCGGGGCCAGCAGGTGAATGAGATGTGGCGAAGCCCCTCCGGCCAGCAGATGGCCCGCCCGGGTGGCAGAGGCGGGGCGCGGCCGTCGGAGCCCCCTCCCCGGAGTCCTGCGGGGCCCGCCGGCTGGCGCGCCGTGTCAGATGCCCGCCTTGTCGCTGTAGAAGGGCGTGACGTGGAACATGTAGCAGTGCGTGCACACGCGGACCGGCTTCACCTGCCCGTAGCGCGGCAGCGGCGCCGAGTGCGAGGAGCAGCGCGAGCAGAAGATCTGGAAGACAGGAGCGCACGGCCGAGTGAGCGGCCCGGGGCCCTCCGCAGCCCTGCGCCTCCCCTCTCCCCTACCGTGGTCTCGGAGGGACGGCCAGCAGGGGCGGGAGCAGAGCCCTGAGCGCCCCTGGCCGGCCAAGCTGCACGTCCCTCCCGCCAGGGCCAGGCAGGCAGTCGCCGGCGGGGCTCTCCCCTCCCCAACGCGGGGCTAGACCTTCAGGAAAACCTGGGGCAGGTCTTGACCAAGAGGCCAGGCGGAGGGAGGGGGCCAGCCTCACACCCAGGCTGCGGCAGGCTCCGCCTGATTCGGACCCTCCACCCCACCCCACCCCCACCAGGTCCCCAGGTCTGAAGGGGCCAGGACAGGGCACTGCTCCATTGCATTTAGTGGCTGCCTGCCGGAGGCCACGTTCGTGCGTACTAAGTCGCTCAGTCGTGTCCGACTCTGCTGACGCCATGGGCTGTAGCCCGCTAGGCTCCTCTGTCCATGCGATTCTCCAGGCAAGAATACTGGAGTGGGTTGCCATGCCCTCCTCCAGGGGATCTTCCCGACCCAGGGATCGAACCCAGGTCTCCATGTCTCCTGCATTGGGAGGCGGGTTCTTTACCTCCAGCGCCACCTGGGAAACCCGAGGCCACACCCTGTGCCAGGTCAGAGCAGCGCCCAGGGCTCACGGGTGTCTCTGTGCACAGGACTCCTAAGTCCTCGCCAGCCCCGGAGCATTGGTCCTGACCCCTGGACCTGGGCGCGGGGTCTGCAGACGGTCCCTGGGATGTCTGAGGCGGCAGCCCCGGGGGCTGCGGGACGGCCCCGGCCGCCCACCCACCTACCTTCCCGCAGCTGCGGCAGTGGTGCTTCCTGCGGATGACTGTGAAAGGCGCTTTGCAGGCGGTGCAGAAGCCGCAGGCCTCGTCCGGGACCCACTCGGGCGGGTCTGTGGCAAAGACAGTGGGGACAGGTCAGCCCGCGGCAGCGGTGCGGGGGGCGGCAGTGAGGGCCGATGGGCTGGGGCGGGGGCCGGAGGCTGGTGGTGTGCAGGAGCCTCCGGTCTGGTCCTCGCGAGGCTCCTTACTGACTAGGTTTCAGGACTGCTGGCCAGGAGCGTGGATCGGACCCCAGCGGCAACAGCCTGCACGTCGCCCCAGGGCTCAGGGCGAGGTCCACCCAGGCCACCCTCTCCCAAGCCTCTCCCGGCCGGCATCCAGTCTGGCAGGGTTCTTGGGCAAACACGGGGGCTGACAGATGAAAGAAATCAACTCCCTTTGTCAACCTCTCAAACAAGGCTCTACTGGAGCCTCAGGCGCCCCCGCAGCCCCGCCCAACCCGGCTCCAGGGCAGGTCAAGGGAGGTGGGGGAGGGGATGCGAGGGAGGGCATCTCCCGAAGAAGCGACTGGCTCCGCCCTGAGGATGGCCCCGCCCCGAATCTGGTCCCGCCCCCGAATCTGGCTCCGCCCCGGGAATGGCCCCGCCCCCCACATTTGCAGCGCCCGTCCCCACTACTGGTCTCACCCGCTTTCCCTTCTCTAGGCGCTCACTGGAGGGAGCCCCTGGGGATCTGCTCTGGAATTCGGGGGGCGGGGGCTGAAGGCGCTGGGAGAAGCCACTTTGTCCAGGGAGACACCCCAGACATGAGGTGCCCACCTTGCACCAGCTGCGAGCGCGGACGGGCGAGGCCACTCACCCTGGTCTTCGGCCCCTTTCCGGCCCCTCCTCCCCAAGCTGCGCCCGAGGACATGCACTCCCCCGCCTGCTGCCTGCAGACCCCCCCGCCCCTCCCACCCTGCCCTCCAGGCTCACCCCCCACCCCACCGCAGTTAGACCTCCTCTCACGCTGTCCACCCTCTCCGTGGAAAAACCCTGACCGTCCCAGTGATGCCTGGACATCACCAGTCAGCTCCTAGGGTCATTCCAGGCCGGCCACGAGGCCAGCTCCAACAGACAAATCCAGACTCCCACCCGAGGAGGACAGTGAGGGTCCTGGGAACTCCCAGGCCCTGCCCTGAGAGCCGCGTGTCCGGAAGACCTTGGTGAGGGGCCCCCACTGGAGGAGGGCTGCCGCCCACAGCCTGCAGGCCAGGACAGAGGGGAAATGTCCGTCCGGGGTTCCCACCCTCTGCTCAGCGCACTGGCCCCGGCCCCTCACGCACCTTCCAAGTCTCCGTCTTGGGTCTTGGCGGCCAGCTCGGAGGACGACAGGGTCTCCTGGCACAGGGTGCAGTCCTCCAGGGCCGCGCTCCGCAGGGTCTGGGTGGCTGGAAGAGAGTGTGGCCACTGGGCTCAACGGGCCACCACGAGTACCCAGGAGGTATGCCTGGGTGCAGCCAGCGGGGTGCAGCCCCCAAACCGTCCACGGTCCCGCCCGCGGAGGGCGTCATCGGGGCCCTCACCCACTGCCTGCAGGCAGGATGCTGACCCGACCCTGGGAGTCTGTCCATCTGAGTGCCCCCATGTGAGCAGCTGGCCCTGCCTGTGGCCCCCAGCCCCGGACCCGTCCACTGGTCTCCCTGGACCGTGGCCCTGAGGCGGGCAGGGGACCAGGCCTGGCCCCGGCCCTGGGGCCCACAGTCCTTGCTTGCAGAGGCCGCCCACATAACCGCCCTTCCTGAGCAGCGGTGGTCCAGAGGCAACCCCACCCGGAATCCCCGGGCACACGGGGGCAGCGCGGCCCAGTGGAATGGACCTCGGGAGGCAGAGCTGGGTTGGCACACGGGACAGACTTCTCCCCAGGGCCTGGGCCGGGTGCCCGGTCACTCTTGAGCAGAAGCCCCTGGGGTGAGGGGGTGTGAGGCAGGTCACAGAGGGCCACTTCCTCCTGGAGCAGCGGGACCTGTGTCCCCTCCCGGACTCTGGGCTGACCTCTGGCTGCTCTGACAGAGGGAATTCTGCAGAAGCGACCAGGGACCTCTGGGTCCCGTCTGTGTGAGGACGGGCACCGTGCCTCCTGGCCTGTCCTCGTGGTCAGAAGACAGGCGGCCTGGCCTGGGCACTACATGATTGGTGCCGCTGCTCCTGGCAGTGACCTCGGGGTGCCCGGGGCCTGTGAGGTGTGCCCTCAGTCCCCCAGCGGACAGCCTGGCTTGGCTGGGGGCTTCCACCGCAGATGACGTGGTCATGTAAAAAGCTGGGTGGCCCAGGAGAGCAGGTTTCCCGGGGTGGGGGTGGCACGCCTCCGAGCCTGTCCCGGGTCGCCACTCACCCTTCTTTAGCTTTTCTTTGTCATCCGTCTCTGGCTTGGTGGCCATGACCTGGAAGAGGGTCTTGAGAATGCTCCTCAGATCGCTGGCATAGTTGGTCTGCAGCTGGTCGGCCACGCCTGCGGGGGACGCCCGGGGGAGGGGTGAGGGGAGGCGCTGCTGGCTGTGAGCCCACTGTGGCTCAGGGTCAGAGACCAGCGGGTCCTTGGATGAGCGGGGGCAGGAAGCGGCCACCCAGCGCCCCCCCCCCCCCCNCCCCACCCCGCCGGTCCCTCTGGCAGAAGCAAAGTTCAGGACTCAAGGGAAGGAGGGGGACAGGCCCGCGACCCAGCAGTGCCTCCCACCCCCAGGCGGCAGTTAGTCTCCTTCATGCTTTTATCTGCGGAGTCTCAGCCATGGCCACCACAGGGCCCTGGCTCCTCACTAAGGGACGATCCCGAGCCCCCAGGTGTGCCCACCCGCGTGGCAGCTCCTTCCCCATCACAGCCACCTCCACTGCGGGGCTGCCCTTCTGGGGACCTGCCCAGACGAGGGGGCCCTTGGGGCTCCCCCCACCCTCACCGGCCGAGGTTTCCTCATCCCTCAGTCGGGTGGGCTCAGCCCTCCTCAGTGAGAAGCTCTTCGAGGGCGGGTGGGGCTGCGTTCACGGCAAGGCCAGGGGGTGACCACACCTGCCCCCCGCACCCTGGGGCCCATCACCGCGCCAACACTGTGGCCACCAGTTCCGGAGGGTTCCTGGGGTGTCAGCAGCCCTGCCGGGCACCCGCTGGGCCTGCTGCTTCCCAGACTGCCAGACAGACCCGTGGATTTCCAGTGGGTTCTGCCAGATGTTTGAACGGAAGCTCGGAGTCACCCCCGAGCCTGGCCTGGGTGGCGGCTCTGCCCGTGGGACTCTGGGCAGTGCAGAGTGACACCCCGAGACCACGACCCTGACTCTGCCGTGTCTACCAGTCCACAGGCTGCGCCCCCCACGGCTCCACCCCACGGCCTGGGGAGGGAGGGGACACAGCTGCAGGACGGGCACTGCCTGAACTTCGCCTGGAGGTGGGGGTGGACGGCAGGCAGGAGGCGGGGAGCGGGACCCCACCACACAGTCACGCTTCTAAACCACGTGCCTGCACCAGCTACTCCAAACACACAAAACTAAGGGAGAAGGTGAAAAAGCCGCCGCGCTCACGCCCCTCTCTGAATCCCAGGAGACAAACCAGTCATCGACCCCTCACCCAGGGGACGGAAGGAAACAGGATCAGTCAGGACATCAGATTGAACAGGACCTCGCGGGTGGGTGGTGAGGGCCCTGGGGCCCAGCTTGGGCTCCCCTCCAACCAAGGAGGGCCTGCGGACGCACAACGCCCACCTCTTGGCTGGGCTCCTTTTGTGGCTTGGGGCAAGGAAGTGACGTGGTGAGGGAGCCCCCAGGCGGGGCCCGCACCCCAACCTTGCTGGGGAGACTCCTGCAGAGTGCCAGCCACTGCCCTGAAGCCTGCCCAACCCCTGTGTGTCCCGGAGCCCATGCCCCACCCGGGGCCGACGGGGCACCTGAGATGCAGACAAACAGGCGGTGGATCAGGTCGTGGCTGCCGTGGAACCGGGAGCGCATCTTCTCTCTGACGGCCACGGGCGCCGACTCAGAGCTGTTCGTGTCTGGGGAGCAGGGACCAGCCGTGGAGCCGCTGCATGGAGAAGGAGACACAGGGGCTTGGCTGTGGGCAGCGAGGGGGGATGAGACTTCTGACCGGAGGGCCCCCCACTCCACGCGGGTGCACCCCAGGTCCAATGTCGGGGGCTGAGTTCGTCCCGTGGAAGCACCCTTGCCCCACTCACACCCTCTGCAGGGGCTGGCGGGCCCCAAATGATGTGTCCGCGCCCAAACCTGGAACCCGGCAGGACCTTAGTTGGAAAAAGGTCTTTGCAATCGAGGCAAGGATTTTTATTTATTTATTTTTTTTGGCTGTGCTGGATCTTGGGTGCGGGGCAGGCTTTTCTCTAGCTGTGCTGAGAGGGACTAACTCTCTCTAGTCGCCGTGTGCGGGCGTCCTTTGTGAAATGTGAGCTCTGGGCTTCAGCAGTTGTGGCTCCTGGGCTCCGGAGCACAGACTCAGGAGTTGAGGGTCACGGGCTCACTTGTTCCTTGGCGTGGGGGGCCTTCCCGGATCAGGGGTCCAATCAGTGTCCCTTGTACTGCTAGGCGGATTCTTAACCACTGGCCCACGAGGGAAGCCCCAAGCTAAGGACCTGGAGAGGAGACGTCCTGGCTCATCTGGTGGCCCTAGCCCGAGGCCAGGAGTCTCAGTAGGAGGGGAGGGGGGAGGACCAGTGACCACGACACAGAGATCGCAGTAACGAGGTACCAGTCAGGTGGCTCCCAGAGCCACCAGGAGCTGGAAGACGCAGGAAGGACCCCCGCCCAGAACTTCCAGAGGGAGCGTGGCCCCGCCAGGGTTCAGATTTCGGGTCTCCAACCTGTGAGAGGAGAGGCTTCTGTCGCTTCCAGCCACTGGTCACGGTGCTCTCTACTGAGACAAGCCCTCCGGCCCCCCCACACGCCCCTGACCCCGGCCCAGGGCCCTGCCGCAGGCGCTGTTATTCTGCTGTCCAGGGCTCACCCCGAGGCCCCAAGTAGCGGCCGCAGCTGAGGCTGGACTGTCCCGGTGTCCACGCCCAGCTTCAGGGGGTACGTGCGCTGGCCTTTCAGTCCTTAAAATAATGTCTCTCTCATCTTCACTTCTGTCAGTTTTTCTTTTCTGGGAAATTTCCTCCTCCACCCCCCCTCCTAGTTTTCCCCTTGACATTTTTGCTACTGGGTTTTTATTGGGTTGGCCATAAAGTTTGATCGGGTACGCACGCTGCTACAGAATTCATTTCCTGCCCTCTGTTTCACGGATGCAAAATCTTTTATCTATCTAGAAATATTCACGATAATTTTTAAAAAGTTGCCTTCGGGGGCCTGCACTATCTCTGCTCTCGCTTTTCTGTAGAGAAGTTGGGGTTTTTCAGGCTGGAGGCCGGCCTCAAATGCCCAGGATCCCGGTGTCAGAGAGAGGCCCTTGCGGGTGAGACGGGCCCCCAGCGTGGCTGCTGGGAGTGAACTGGCTGGTGACCATGGGGAGAGTGCCCCCCCCCCAACGGCAGAGATGGGTGCACAGCCACACGCTGTCTTACCAAGGGGCACCTCCCTTGGCATCCAACCACCAGGAAGCTCGGAGACAGGATGCACCTGGGAATTCAGTGCAGAGGGCCAGGGGGGAAGGAGCCCAGACTGGCTCCTCGGGGTCCCCTCCCCAGTCAAGTGGGGGTGTGTTTGACTGGCACACTCGGGCAATGGGAACATCTGTCTCTGAGTGTGTAATGCTTCTCCAGAGCATGGAGGAGTGGTGGGAAGTGCTGGAGAGGCTGGCGCCCTGCTCCGCGGAGATCCTTGTGATGACTGAGAGCCCTCCCTGCCAGACTGCCTGCCGCGTCCCTGAGACGAGGCCCCTGGCTTTCCGCCTGGGGGTGTGAGCCTGTCTGTGCCCTCCCTGGGAGCTGAGTAAGGAAACGGGGTGAGCGTCACTGTCCAGGGTCCATGTCCATCAACACTCCTGGGCTCAGCTCACAGCCTCACCCAGAAGATCTGAAAGCAGGAACCCAAACAAATGCTTACACACGAACATTCACAGCAGCATTACTCACAGCCGAAAGGTGTAACAACCCGAGCGCCCGTCAACAGATGATGGGTAAACACAAAATGTGGTCCATCCACACAGGGAAATACTATTCAGCTTTCAAAAGGAATAAAATTCTGACAGCAGCTATGATATGGATGAACCTTTAGGACATTACGCTAAGTGAAGTAAGCCGGTCACAAAAGGACAAACACTGTGTGATGCCACTTACATGAGGTTCCTAGAGGAGTCAGATTCAGAGACGGAAGGGCGGGCGCCAGGGGTCGGGGAAGGGGGTTTAGAGGGGACAGAGTTTCAGTTTGGGCTGATGAAAAAGTTCTGGAAAAAGTGGTGATAGTCATACAATATTGTGAATGTGCATAATGTCACTGAATTGTACACGTAAATACTGTTAAAATGGTAAATTTTGTGTTTATTTTGCCAAGATTAGAAAGTAGGGGATAAAAGACTTAGGACAGGGGAAAGCGAAGGAAAAGGAACTGAAAAGTCTAAACGGCAAATAGTGTTGATGGATTTGGCATCAATGCAACAGGTTAAGAATTACATTAGATTGTACACTTTTAGAGTGTTTTTAATAATTAAAAAATGAAGCATAGTTGATTTACAATGTTGTGTTAGTTTCAAATGTACAGCAAAAACTATGAACTCATTTCATATGCTAGGAAGATAATGCTCAAAATCCTTCAAGCTAGGCTTCAGCAGTACATGAACTGAGAACTTCAAGATGTTCAAACTGGATTTAGAAAAGGCAGAGGAACCAGAGATCAAATTGCCAACATCTGTTGAATCATAGAAAAGGCAAGAGAATGCCAGAAAAAAATCTACTTCTGCTTCATTGACTATGCTAAAGCCTTTGACTGTGTGGATCAAAAGTGTGGAAAATTCTTCAAGAGATGGGAATAGAGACCACCTTACCTATCTGCTGTGAAACCTGTATGCAGCTCAAGAAGCAACAGTTAGAACCGGACATGGAACAACAGACGGGTTCCAAATTGGGAAAGCAGTATGTCAAGGCTGTATATTGTCACCCTGCTTATTTAACTTATATGCAAAATACATCATGTGAAATGCTGGGCTGGATGAAGCACAAGCTAGAATCGAGGTTGCTGGGAGAAATATCAATAACCTCAGATATGCAGATGACACCACCCTTATGGAAGAAAGAGAAGAAGAACTAAAGAGCCTCTTGATGAAAGTGAAAGAGGAGAGTGAAAAAGTTGGCTTAAAACTCAACATTCAAAACACGAAGATCATGGCATCCGGTCGCATCACTTCATGGCAAATAGATGGGGAAACAATGGGAACAGTGAAAGACTTTACTTTCTTGGGTTCCAGAATCACTGCAGATGGTGACTGCTGCCATGAAATTAAAAGACACTTGTTTCTTGAAAGAAAAGCTATGACCAACCTAGAGACAGCATACTAAAAAGCAGACATTACTTTATTGACAAAGGTCCGTCTAGTCAAAGCTATGGTTTTTCCAGTAGTCATGTATGGATATGAGAGTTGAACTATAAAGAAAGCTGAGTACCAAAGGATTGGTACTTTTGAACTGTGGTGTTGGGGAGTCCCTTGGACTGCAAGGAGATCCAACCAGTCATTCCTGAAGGAAATCAGTCCTGAATATTCACTGAAAGGACTGATGCTGAAGCTGAAACTCCAAGACTTTGGCCACTTGATGGGAAGAACTGACTCCTTAGAAAAGACCCTGATGGTGGGAAAGATTGAAGGCAGTAGGAGAAGGGGACGACCGAGGATGAGATGGTTGGATGGCATCGAAGACTCGGTGGACGTGAGTTTGAGCAAGCTCCAGGAGTTGGTGATGGACAGGGAGGCCTGGAGTGCTGTAGGCCATGGGGTCACAAAGAGTCGGACACGACTGAATGACTGAGTACACATGGACACACACACTATATGTATCACATATCAACACCATTCAGTTCACCCTTTGCTGTTCAGTCACTAAATCGTGTTTGACTTTTTTGACCCCATGGATGGCAGCAAGCCTGGCTTCCCTGACCTTCACTGTCTTCCAGAGTTTCCTCAGTCTCATGTCCATCGAGTCGGTGATGCCATCCAAACATATCATCCTCTGTCGTCCCCTTCTCCTCCTGCCTTCAATCTCTCCCAGCATCAGGGTCTTTTCCAATAGTTGTCTCTTAACATCAGGTGACCAAAGTATTAGAGCTTCAGCATCAGACTTTCCAATGAATATCCAGGACTGATTTCCTTTAGGATGGACTGGTTTGATCTCCTTGCAGTCCAAGGGACTCTCAAGAGTCTTCTCCAACACCACAGTTCAAAAGAATCAATTCTGTGGTGCCCAGCTTTCTTTATAGTCCAACTCTCACATGCATACATGACTACTTGAAAAACCATAGCTTTGACTATATGGATATTTGTTGGCAAAGTGATTTCTCTGCTTTTTAATATGCTGTCTAGGTTTGTCATAGCTTTTCTTTCAAGAAACAAGCGTCTTTTAATTTCATGGCTGCAGTCACTATCTGCAGTGATTTTTGAGCCCAAGAAAATAAAGTCTGCCACTGTTTCCATTTGTTCCCCATCTATTTGCCATGAAGTGATGGGACCGGATGCCATGATCTTCATGTTTCGAATGTTGACTTTTAAGCCAGCTTTTTCATGTTCCTCTTTCACCTTCATCAAGGGGCTCTTCAGTTCCTCTTCACTTTCTGATGCAAGGGTGGTGTCACCTGCATATCTGAGGTTATTGATGCATTTTTCCATGACAGTTATGGAAAACTATAAAACATCATTGAAATAAATTAGACCTAAATAAATGGAAAGACAGCATATGTTCATGGTTGAGGACTTAATATCATTAACATGGCAATACTCCCAATACTGGTCTATAGGTTCAATGGAATCCATATCGAAATATAAAAAAATTTCATTTTCCATGCAGAAGTTGACAAGCTGATCCTAAAATTCATACAGAAATGCAATGACTCAGAACAGCTGAAACAGTCTTGAAAAAGAAAAAAAGCAAAGTGGGAGGACTCACACGACGTAGAATTTAACAACATGAACAAGACCAGTACTGGCGTAGGAGCCTTAAGGAGGCGATGAAACCGCAAGGCCAGAAATGGACCCAGGAGTTTGTGGTCGACCGATCTTCCTAGAGGGTATCAAGGCCACCCAATAAGGAAAGAATGGTCTTTTCAAAAGATGGTTCTGAGATGGAGAAAAGACTGTCTCTATAATCAGTGGTGCTGGGAAAACTGGAAGCTACATATAAAGAAGTGAAATTATTAATAGAACTTTCTTTTCACACTACACATAAAAATAAACTCAAAGTCAAAGACCTAAATGTAAGACTGGAAACTAAAAAACTTCTAGAAGAAAACATTGGCAGAACACTTTCTGACATAAGCTGTAGCGGTAGTTTTTGGATCTGTTGATGGTTAGATAGCATCACTGACTCAATGGACGCGAATTTGAGCGAACTCCAGGAGAGGGTGGAAGTTAGAGGGTCCTGGTAAGCTGCAGGCCAGGGGGTCGCAAAGAGTCAGACATGACTGAGCGACTGAATGGCCAGCAGAAACCCAAGGCAAGGAAGGCAAAAGCAAAAATAAACAAACAGGACCAGATTAACCTAGAAACTTTTGCACAGCAAATGAAACCACTGACAAAGTGAAAAGATAACCTACTGAATGGGTGAAAATATTTGCAAATGATACAACTTATAAGGGCTTAATATCCAAAATATATAAACAGTTCATACAATGCAATGTAAAAACATAAACAACTGGATTAGAAAATGGATTCGAAATTGTGTTGTTTAGTTGTCAAATTGTGTCTGACTATTGTGCAAACCCACGGACTGTAGCCTGCCAGGCTTCTTTGTCCATGGGATTTCCTGGGCAAGAATCCTGGAGTGAGTTGCCATTTCCTTCTCCAGGGGATCTTCCTGACCCAGGGGTCAGACCCATGTCTCCTGCATCGGCAGGTGGATTTTTTAGCACTGAGCTAACAAGGAAACTGCAGGAAATGGACTGAAGATTTTAACAGATGTTTTTCCAAAGACATACAACTGAAAAGCACATGAAAAGATGCTCAATATTGCTAATCATCAGAGAAATGTAAATCAAAACCACAAGATATCACCTCCCACCCGTCAGAATGGCCATCACGAAAAAGACCAACAATAACAAGTGTTGCCAAGGATGTGAAGAAAAGTGAACCCTCCTAAACTGTTGGTGGGAATGTAACTTACACCACTGTGGAAAACAGCATGGAGGTTCCTCACAAACCTCAAACTAAAACAACCATATGACCCATCAACTCTACTCCTGGGTATATACCTGAAGAAAATGGAAACACTTATCAGAAAAGACACATGCAACCCAATGTTCACAGCAGCATTATTTACCACAGCCAAGATATGGAAGCAACATAAGTGCCCATCAACAGATGAATGGATAAAGAAGATGTGAAATAGATATAAAATGAAATATTACTCAACCACAAAAAAGAATGAAAATTTGTCAATTCCAACAACATGGATGACATTGCAGGTATTACGCTAAGTGAATGAGTGAATATGCAGTGAATATGCAGAATCCAAAGAATTCAACAGACGTATGAATATAACAAAACAGAAACAGATTCATGGATACAGAGAGCAAACTAGTGGTCACCAGCGGGGAGAGGGAAATGGGACGAGGTAAGACAGGGGTAGGGGATTAAGAAATACAAACTACTAAATGCAAAATAAATGGGCCACAAGGATATACTGTATAGCACAGGGAACACAGCCAGTATCTTATAATAAGTTTAAGTGGAGTATAATCTATACAGATATTGAAATGCTATGTTATATACCTGAAACCAATATAATATTGTAAATCAACCATACTTCAATTAAAAAATTTAATGGTGCTGGGAAAACTGCACTTCCACATGCAAAATAATGATGTTTTATGTTACACCACATACAAAAATCGGCTCAAACAGATCAAAGACTGTATGTAAGAGCTAAAACTTTCACAACAAAACATGAATCTTTGTGGTGTTGGATTAGGCAATCATGTCTTAGGTGTGACATGAAAAACATAGCAACCAAAGACAAATATCAACAGTTCCTCATGTGGTATGACCCAGCAATTCCCCTCTGAGCATCAACCTGAGAGAACCGAAACACAGATTCACCCAAAAATTAAAGCTGAAAGTTTTTGTGCTTCAAAAGATAGCATCAAGATAGTGGAAAACACTACAGAATGCAAGAACATTTTTTCAAAGCATGTGTCTGTCAAGGGTGTATAGTTCCTGGAATATAGAAACAACTCTTACAACTCAACAAGAAGAAGATAAATCATTCAACTAAAGAACGGGCCATGAATCTGAAAAGACATTTTTCCAAAGAAACTTTATATAAATGGCCAGCAAACACGTGAAAAGATGCTCAACATCATTAGTCATTGGGGAAATGCAAATTAAAACAATACTGTGCCATTTTATACCCATCATGATGACTATAATGATTTTAAAAGAAAACAGGAAAAACCAAGTGTGGGTGAAGATCTGGAGAAACTGGAACCCTCATGCATTCCTGGTGACAACCTAAAATGCTGCGGGCACTCTGGAAAACAGGCCAGCAGTTCCCCTGCCATATGACCCAGCAATTTCACTTCAAGGTGGCTATCCAGGAGAAATGAAACATAGATTCACACAAGCATTTGTGTGAATGGATGTTCATACATACTGCTGCTGCTCCTAAGTCACTTTAGTTGTGTCCGACTCTGTGCGACCCCATAGACGGCAGCCCACCAGGGCTCCCCTGTCCCTGGGATTCTCCAGGAAAGAACACTGGAGTGGGTTGCCATCTCCTTCTCCAATGCATGAAAGTGAAAAGTGAAAGCGAAGTCGCTCAGTCGTGTCCGACTCTTAGCGACCACGTGGACCGCAGCCTACCAGGCTCCTCCGTCCATGGGATTTTCCAGGCAAGAGTACTGGCGTGGGGTGCCATTGCCTTCTCCTCACACATATTCAGTTCAGTTCAGTTCAGTTCAGTCTCTCAGTCCTGTCCGACTGCGACACCGTGAATCACAGCACGCCAGGCCTCCCTGTCCATCACCAACTCCCGGAGTTATCTTTTAATTTCATGGCTGCAGTCACCATCTGCAGTGATTTTGGAGCCCCAAAACATAGTCTGACACTGTTTCCACTGACTGCCCATCTATTTCCCATGAGGTGATGGGACCAGATGCCATACTAGCCTAACTCAAATGTCAGTCAGCTGATAAACAGATCAACAAAATGTAGTCTAGCCATGCAATGGAATCAATCTTTGGCCACAGAAAGGAATGAAATACTGTTAGGTGCTACAATGTAGGTGAACCTTGAAAACATTAGGCTTTGACAGAAGCCAGTTACAAAGGTCACTTGTATGATTTCATTTTTTTGAAAAGTCTAGAAAAGTCTAGGCAAATCCATGGAGACAGAAAGTAGATTAATGGTTGCCAGCGACTGAAGAGGTTTTACTGGGGAAATATTGGGGTTTCTTTATGGGGTGATGAAAACGTTCTGAGATTGGACAGTGGTGGCATTTGCACAGCTCTGTGAATGAGCTAAAAGCCACCGAATTGTGCACTTTAAAAAGAATGAGAGGATGGTTTTCTTGTCATCATTTTAGCAGAGGCATATTCAAGAAACAGCTCAAGCTAAATGCCCATCAACAGTGGGTTGATTCAGTAAACTAGGTCATAGGTTTCCAGGAAGGATAGTTAATGATGCTGGAAATGCTAAAATATTAAATAAAAAGGTAGCATTTTAAAAGTTAGAGCTGTCACATGTGCATAAATGAGGCATTGTGAATGTAGTCAATGCGGAGCATTAACGTTACGTTATCTGAACAGTGTGACTACGAACGAGTTGGTATTTTTCCAGAGTGTCTACTTCTGGGGCCAGAAGAACAGCCTAGGCTGAGAAGAGGACGCGCCTGTAGCAGGTGCCACTGCAGCCCTCCTGAGGCACAGAGTCTGTTTCCTAGTGGAGATAAAGCCCTGGAGGTGGAGACGCCTTTCCAAACCAGATGCCGCGGCAGCACACAGCTCACATGCAGGAAACCCGGGGCGGGGCCCTGACTGTGGGCAGAGCTCTGAGAGCCGTGAAGCCCAGGGCTCGTGTTATGTCTTGAAAGAGCAATGAACTCTGGGACTCCCCCGGTGGGGCATGGCTAAGACTCCATGCTCCCAAGGTGGGGGCCCCGGTTCGATCCCTGGCCAGGGAACTAGAGCCACATGTTGCACGTAAGACCCCACGCAGACCCCAAATAAATAGCACAGAGAGACCAGTGAACTCTCCCCAAAGACTGCCACCACAGCTGGCCCAGGGGTGGTGGCTGGGGCAGATGGAAATTGCAGTCTTCAACCCACGCCCGCTCCAGCTGCTCTGCCGAGTGGGGAGCGTGTGCGTGAGTGAGTGTGTGCGTGTGGATGGAAAGAGAGCCAAAGGCTCCATGAAAAGGCTTGTCCAAGGCAGAAAAATCAACAAAGTGGTGCCACGGGGAGCCCAGTAAGGCTTGCAAGGGCCACAGAGAGCAAACGAACAGAACACTGGAGGTTGGGCCGGGACCGCACCTGGGGGCTGAGCTTGGGGCCTGGCTGGCTCAGCCTGCTCCCCGGGGGCCAGTGGATGGGCATTGTTTGAACACCAGGAGCATGGCCCAGGGTGGTCACTCTCTTGGAAGGGCACGGGTCCTCCATGGACAGCTGCTGGACAGACAGGCTGGGGACACAGAAGAGGGCCCCAGGGAAGAATCAGACCCTGTGTGTGGGCCCCAAGAGCCCAATCGAGAGCCAAACGCATTAAAGACGGAGCCGAGAGGCCGCCTGGAGCCCAGCAGTTCACACCTGCCGTGGGGGCAGGAAGGGTGCGGGAGGGACGTGGCCGGAGCCCCAGAGGCAGAGGGACGGGAGCTGGGAGCAGCGAGGGTGAAGGCGCGGGGGCGCCGGCCCGCCGGCCCGCCAAGGGCTCCCCGCGCCCCCCGGGGAGGCTGCACCCCCCAGCACCGCATGTCTACACAGTCACTCAGAGTCAGATCCTCCCGGTCACCAGGATGTAGGAAAACCTGGCACCTTGTGTACCGATGGCCAGCTGGGTTCTGTCTGTTTCCTCCCACTGCCTTTTACAGAAGGCAGCACAAACCCCTGTCACAACTCCCCTGAGGTTTGAATTACTAGGAAGTGTCGTTTTTCTGGTAGCAAAATACCGTGCAATTCTCAGCAGTCACATCAACCCCGAACGTCTCGTCCAGCCTGTGTCTCTGCCCACGGTCAAAGGCATTGCGGCATACTCCCAAAGTGCGCACTGGACAGGGACACAGGCAAGCGTCCGATTCCACTGTCAGAGGAGGAAAAAGAAAAAAGAGCCTTTTGACAGAAATAGGACATTGTCATCCTGACGTCCAAGGGGTCTACAGAATAAGAGAAAACACAACCTGGAAAAACTAATAGCATCGCAAGCTGTTCCAGCCATGACGTCACACGGATGAAGCTGCGAGCCTCTGGACGAGTCCAAAGAAGCGAGCAGGCCGGAAACACGACTCAGAGACGGGGCGCCTGTGGGGGTCTCCCTCCCCCGGCCTGGGTCCTGCGCCCTCCCGTGGTGACGGAGGAGCTCCCCAGCCTGGGGGCTCCGATCCGGGAGGGGGCGGGGGCCACTCAGAACTGCAGTGACAACTCCCCAGGAAAGCACAGGTGCCGGAGACCAAGCGTGTTCCCCCAATTCTGAGCACAGACCGCTGGGCACAGGAGGATGACTCGGGGACTCACCATCCAGAACGGCGACCTCATGCGTTTTCCACCCAAACAAGCCCCAACTTCCACCCCCTCTGAGGACCAGCTGCGACCCCAGTGACACATCCCAGCCCCGACGGCACCCAGACCTGGTTCCATGCAGGGTCTCAAACCCATTTCTAGAACATTGTGCTAGACCTCAGCTTCTTAGAAGCTATCATTTATTTGTGTGTTCTCTGTGCATTCCTTTGAAAATAAATCCTGTCATCTTTCACTTTTATTCTTTTCATCTTTCAGTTTTCAACGAAAAAGTTTAAAAGTGAAATCCCAGGTGCATCACACGTTAAGGAGAGGCCGTTATTGTGGGAACGCACTGGTACTCGTCCGGCTGGACTGTCCACTGACTGAGCAGAGCCGTCATCCCCTTCCCGCGGCCAGCAGGGACCCCTGCGCACCTGTCTGTCCGTCCAGGGGCGGGGAGGGGAGTCGGGGGCCTGCACCACCGG